AAATTTAATGTAGAATAATCCTCATGATGTTTTCACTAGTTCGTTTCATCTAAATTATATGAATTGTAGTTTTCTCTCCCCTCGAAAAGGCCCTTTATATTTAAATACTTTATATTTACATCGAGGGGACCCTCTCTACGGAGGCCACCATGTTTTTTACAGTAGTCCAGACTGGACAAACTAAACACCTTTTGAGTTTTTATGACAATTAAAGGCTACCACAGCTTCTTTTTCATGTTTGGAAGGAGAGGGTGAGGTGAGGGGTGTTCAACTGCAACATGCAATTTCATCACTAGATATCACAAAATTCTACACACTGTACCTTTAATAAAACGTAATGGTATCAAGTTATATAAACCATAAAACCAAAGTAACCTCTCAGTGCATTAACCATTAATAAATGTGTTCAGGGCTCTGACGAATGTGCTGGGATCAAGATGAAGTATTGTAAGATGTGGGTAGATAACAGCATTCTTCCAAAGCACAAGACAGTCAGCAGGACAAAGGCCAGCCACGTGTTGAGATGCTCAAGACACAGAGCGTGCACCAAGATCAGGAGTCAAAGTCAATGTTCCAATTTAGTTTTTAGTCACACACACAGAAAAGACACAATATAGAACTGAGCATATGCTCCAAAAGATATCATGTGGACAGAGGATTCTGTAAAACGCTGTACATGACAGGCGGAGAATCAATCCAAGTCCATTTGCTGGTCTGCGTCAGAGATTTTCAATTGTTGCACATTGAATGTTTTGCTGTAAAACGTGTTATTGTGCATAGTTCTAACTGCCAACTCTTTTCTTTAATTTGTCTTGTTGAGCACATACCTCTCAAGTAAGAATGCAACTGCCAAGATAACTATACATTTCTTCTGCATTTACCTTAACTCAGAAAGTATTCTGACAGAAAATCTATCCATCTTCTGTCACAGCTTATTCAGTGTTGAGGCAGTTTGTAGACAGACCATAGACTGTATATAAAGATGGGTAGAGCATTTCAACTTTCTCCTAATATCCAGAAATAAAATATTCCTGATACAAACGCTGCCATCTTGCACTAATGATGTCATTTGGAGCCAAATTCTGTGCAGTTGCAACCTGGAGATTGAGCTGCGGTATCAAAGTACTGCCGACACATGCACATCAGTCTCAGCTGTCAATCATGACATTTTACATATTTTATAGAACCCATTAACTATAAAAATTAATACAAAAACATACATCAGTGTGATAGGAACTACAGAAAATGAAAGAGTACATGTTCCATCCATTAAAATGGAGGAGGCGGCTAAATATGAACTATATTGCAGCTACCCACCAGGGAGCAATCAATTTGCTTTGGCTTAACATTTAGGAGCCATCATGTTGTCTATCTTTATATATTGTCAACGATACAAACAAACACTCTGATATTCAAACCTAAAATCACACAGGCAAAGTCAGCCATAAGCTCATGACCTTGACAACTCTGGGTAAATAACATGGGTAAATAATTGATTACACGATAAAATTGTTGATGTGTAATGTGTAATCCTTCTTTGAAACATTCATTGGCTTCCAAGAATGCCAACCATTTTACAGTTGAAAAAAAAAAACGTGTCAGTGCGTAAACTATGAAATGTACCTTAAACTAGCTCCTTTAATCCATATAAACACTAAAAATATTTTCAAAGATAGGGCTTTTCCACAGGATGCACAAAGACAGAGTTATTGGTAAAAGAGAGTCTGCAAACCTTGAGAAAAGCACATGGGAAAATGTAACAGTCCAACCAAGTGAGACTGTCAAGGGTTGTATTTTAGATTTCCCCTAATCTCAATCAAATTAATTGTAATGCCCAATTGAGGCTGCAGAGGCACGGTAAGTCTAGCATGTGAGTGCTGCTTGTTCTACTCACTCGAGACAAGCCCCTGTGACCTCACAACTGAGCATGGGACTTCTAGGTATTTAAAGTCAAAGGATCAGTAAAATGCTGCTCCATGGCATTTCATGCAAGTGACTTGCAATTGATTTGAGCGGTAATTAAATACCTTGTCCGTGTGGAAAGTTTAAGCCTATACACCCTGCATGGGTGTCTTGATACTTCTTTGATGCTGTGGCCTCAGGGCTCCACATCAGGCTTTAAAAGCCGAGGCGATATCCTCTCTGACACCACTGAGCCGACAGCAAACCACTGGGCCTGTTTCATTGTATCCTGTAGTGCGTTGAGTTGCGGTAGAACTACAAGTCAGAATGGAGTATCACCACGCTTCAGAGATGAACGGAGTTGTGTCCGAGTACCTGAATATGCGCATCGAGTCTAAACAGAATGGTTTATGCAAAGAGAAAGAATCCAGGGAAGCTGCGGATTCAAAAAACCTGTCTCTGATTGAGAAATCTTACAGCACCATACTGAGTGAGCTTGGAGAAGACGTGGGCCGAGAGGGGCTTCTACGAACACCGCTGCGTGCAGCCAAAGCCATGCAGTTCCTCACCAAAGGCTACAAAGAAACCACCCAAGGTGAATATAAAATTATTATTTATGTTACTGATGACAACATTTTGAGATGTGCTAATGCTTATTCTTGCAAAATGAGTCGAAACATTTCATGGTTTCACAATACATTTAAATAAGCTCAAAGACAATAACATTGTGATATAATCAGACAAGTATAGTGTATTTTGTGCCTTCAACCCCACCATATGTCAAAGGCTTTGTCCTGGTTTAGTTTCCCCTTGTGAAACATTTTTAGGTTCATAGACTACTATAGTTTGCTAAATGCCAGGTCTTAACAAATAGACAGATCATCTGTTACTCTGTCACTTTTGATTTCATCCTTTGTTCCACTACTGTATATTATATAAAGCACATTTTCAATCTTCACACAGATATCTTGAACGATGCAATCTTTGATGAAAACCACGAGGAGATGGTGATTGTCAAGGACATCGAGCTGTTTTCTCTCTGTGAACATCATCTGGTGCCCTTCTTTGGCAAGGTAATTTTGTTGTGAAATCTTGCACAATCCGAATGCTTGATTTTTATATTTTAATTTTTAAAGAAATTATTAAAGAAATTTGATTAAAACATTTTACTAAACTGATCTTTTAGATTAATTCATTGCAATTTCTTATCTGCTTACATCCACACCAACACTAATATATCTGTAATAAGAGTGAATTGGGTGATAAAAGCAGACCAGATTTGTAATATGGACAGCTTCTGCCTAATCATGCATGATATGCCTTGTTATTGATATTCAAATTATGATGTGTTTAATGTTTCAGGCTCACATAGCATACCTCCCAAACAAGAAAGTGGTTGGTCTTAGCAAACTTGCAAGGTAGGTCATGACAACACACACACACACACACGCACACGCACGCACACACACACACACACTAATTTCCTTTGTTATTATTTTCTTCTAGAATTGTTGAGATCTACAGCAGGAGGCTTCAAGGTAACAATTGATTTTCTAGGACTGTTACTCTATCTATCCCACATTCTCAGAGTCCAAAGTGATGACCTACGATGTCATGATTTTTTCCCAGCCAATAATCAAAAATCCAAAGATTTACAGTTTACTGGAAAAGTTCAATATATGTGAGGCTGAAAATAAAATGTTTTAGGTCAGTTGCTTAAAATAACCATCAAGATACTACCTTTTGTTTTTTCACTATTGACTAGTCATTTAATCAAGCAACTGTTGCAGCTGTACTTCTGTTTGCATATTATTAATATTAATCTTATATGTATCCAAATTCATTTTAATATGTATCCTTCTCCACAGTTCAGGAGCGTCTGACTAAACAGATCGCTTCAGCTATCTCAGAGGCGTTGGAGCCCGCTGGAGTAGCAGTGGTGATTGAGGCTGTGTGAGTATTTTGGCCTTTTATCATCCATATTGTACTTAATTGTTGACAGCGTCTTTTTTTTCTCTTTATGCTAGCCCTAAAAAAAAGAGTTTTGAGATCATTTAGATTTATGTTACAACTCAAAGATACCAAATTTTGTGGGAGTCATTAATAATCTTTTTTTGTGCATCACAGTCACATGTGCATGGTGATGAGAGGTGTGCAGAAGATGAACGCCAATACTGTAACAAGTGTCATGCTGGGAAGATTCCATGATGATCCCACCACCAGAACGGAGTTTCTTAGCCTGACATTAAAGAAGTGAAGGGTACAACAGTTCAACAGAGGAAATCATTTTAACACTTAAACCTGTTCATGTGTGAACTTCAGACAGATTTACATTCAGTGAATTACTTCATGGTGTTGGTGGTGACCTTTCTAAACCTGATGGTTTTTTAAAATTATTTATCATGTTTACATATAAACAAGTTTACACTGCAATGTGAAATCCAATACAAATGTACACTGAAAATAAACATTGTATTCTTATTTACATCTGTGTGGTTTAAAATGAGAACACCGATACCCATACTGTACAATGACAGCAACCGTTATCTTACAAATCACACAACAGAAGATATGATCTTAATCTAATTTTCAAATAAATGTTTTTTAAGCAATTGTTTGAGTTCATTATCCTCCTTTACATAAAATCGAACATCTCAAAATGTTCTTGTCATTCTAAACTGAGTCAGCAACTCAACTCAGCAGCTGATGCAGACCAGCAGTGCAGTCAGATAGTGTGACCAAATCATCTGCGCATAAAAGAGTAATTATGAGATCAACAATGACATAATCTGTTGTAAATGTGGAAAAAAGGATTACTTACTGAAGCAGCATGATGATTTGAATTGCACATGATATATGGGAACTGAATATTGAAACCAGATTTGAGAATATTGTGAGCTTGGTAACGTTAAATATGAACTGAATTCATTCATTATTCAATCAGACTCTTCTTTCCGCTGCATCACATTTTATGCAAACATTGTTCTAACAAGATCTTATTTCAGGTTTGTCGACTGTTGACATTTGAATTTAAGCTGAATTAGATGCAAAATGTGCAGATTGCATAGTATTATAAAATAGCATACATGCATCAGTCATAATTTGTTTTCATTTTTAATACATAGACCTTCATTACAGCACATGCTCTCAGTATGAGACTGCTAGAAATAGGCTGTTTTTTATTTATTAAATATCACCAAAATTACAAAAATGTTTCATTAACTGCTCCTTCTAGATTTTTTCCAGGGAAACTAAATTATAATAAAATCATAACATGTATGAATGATGACAAATAATGAGTATGTCTTGCTCTGTATGTATTTTAACTGCACTGGCTGGGATATCATGAGGGGTGGTGGGGGGCCGTATCTGCTGTTTGGTCTAGATTTTTTTAACCAGTTACTTCCACACCACTTCTTTCATTATGCTGATCTGTGAAGTGGAACGCAACGCTGGCGGAGTTGAGAGGTCAGGGGCTCCCGCTGCCTGGATACATACAGTCTAATATTAGAACATTTCCTTGATTTGTTAGTAGCATCTCTGCTGACTCCTGAGCACATGGCAACAGACCGGCCAATAGGATTTCAGGAAATCACTAAGCCCCTCGCTCTGTATAGCAACAGTGGCATCCTTCCATTATTTATTTATATAGGAGTTTTTTTCCCACAGACTCATTTTCAGTCTTGTGTCCCCCCAGTGTGCATCCACACTGTGCTCTCAAACTGTGAAAAAGAGAAATAGTGTGAAGAGTAGAGCTTTAACTTTGGCTTTTCTTTTGCCTGCATAAGCTCTAAATCTTACAGAGGTTATTTATAGATTTTCAGGTTAGTATAGGTTTTTTATAGGTTTTTATAAAGTACCTGAAAGATGAGTGGAATTTTTTTCATTTGCAAGATCAGGTAAAAGTAGAGACAAAGTGGAGAATATCTTGGAAAAGGCTTGACTTTCACGAAGACATGTCATGACGTATTGCTGAAGACGAGGGGGAATACCCAGAGAAATGGCATCGTGGGAAAAGGTGCCACTCAGAGGAGATGGACAACAACCAAGTGGAGAGGATCTTTAAAAGATGGAGGACATGGGAGGAGAGGTGGCAAGGGATAGGAGGAGTGGGGGGGGTGGGGGCGACATAGGATGGCGTGAGGACCGAGGCCGTTGGTTGGTTTGATCTGAGCCACGTGTGCGTCCAGCCACATCTCTTCGCCGCTGCGTGCATGTCGATGGAACGTTGGCTTATCCTGCCGCTTGGTCCCTTCTGTTTTACCCCAGGTAGGTGCGTATTGTCCTGTACTGAGTTTTGTGATGTTCAATTTCCTTAAAGCTGCCTGGATGTTATCTCCACCAGAAGTTTACGTTGAAAGTTCTGTGCAGCCGCTTCGTCATTTCAAGCTTAGGCATAGGACGATGGAAAGCTTGAAGGTGGTGGGGAAATATGGCGTAGGTCAGCTGTCTCGTTTTTGCAATGCAACGCAGATCAAAAACGCACTAAGACTAAATATTCAACAAAAACATGCTCCAAGGACGGTCATCGTCAGCACTATTAATACCTTCTGCATTATCTGTTAGATGGCGGATTGACATTTTGAAATACCTGACACCAAAAATGTGTGACATTTTCAGTAGAGCAACATACGAAAAGAGATTTTTAGGTCTCCAACCAACTCCAACCATTGCTAATGGATCCTCCAATCCAATAATACAGTGTGCAGAGTAAAAGTCATTGACTTTGTTTTGATAAGGCATCTATAAAGCATCTATCGATACCCAAGAATCGTATTAATGTTGTCAAAACTAAACTATGTGTCGTCCCAAATGGATGCGCAGTGCAATTTTCTTTCCTAAACCACAAGTATTAAAACATAAAAATCTGGCTTAATCAAAATCGCAAGACTTTGTTTGAGAACATGTTTACACGTTTCAACAAGAACTGGACACAATGTACCGTGAACATCGAGCCACAACCACTTCATGGCTGCCTAAGTACTTTAATGCAGACGCCATTTCCAGCGCTTTGACTTTTGATCGATAATGTTGTGTCGCTCAATATATTTAGATGTAACGATATGCTAAAACGGACCGAAATATACATTTTGTGCAGAATAACATCCATTATGATTAAATTAATTGTAATTGTCAATCTGTAAAACATTTTAAAGCTCTTTGAATCAGTCAGTGCCTAAAAATCTATTCAATAATATTAATAACCCAGATTGAAACTGTGGTCAGATTTTTTTTTTTTTTGCTTTCCGTTACAGCAATTAAGATTTCTCTATTTTCTGTTAAAGCCTATCAATGGCAACAGGATTAGAGGGAATCACATTTACAAAAACAACAAAACTGATCTATGATCAAAAATAATCTAAATTATAATCTAAGTCATTTTCCACTCACAGAGCACCTCACATCCCTTCAATGGGATGTCACATTACAAAGAGTATAGAAGGATAATAAACCGCTGACTAATCCCAGATGCTAGGGAGAGGATTTAACTGCAGTCCTCTTGAATTATTAACCATGTCATAAGTTACGTGATATAACGCGGTACAGTAATTTTGTAAAAAAATTGCTGATCCTGACTTCCCAAAAAGCAAAAGTCCTATGAAATCCCAAAGCTATTATATACGCTCTTGAATATTACATCCATTTTTACCTTTTACTTTCAAGGGCGACATTCAAGGTGTAAAAATCAATACGTTTTGGGAGAGGAAAACCTTGAAGCGTCATGTTCTTAAAAAACAACATTTATAAGAGCATATCATCTTTGTGTCAATGTCATTGATCCCAGGATATGCACTGTTCAGAGTGCTTAACATGATTTTCATTGTCACCAATAATCTGCTTAAATCTATTGCAGTTATCCTGGTAAAACACATTGTGTCTATTGAAAATAGCAGATGTTTTATTACTAGGACCAGAATGCACCTTAGTCTGAAGATGTTTCAAAGATTTCTAGGAGTTTCTCACCAGCTGTATCGATAACTGAAAAAGATGCTTAGTTAATCACAATGATAATGACAATACTCTACTTATCTCACTTAGAAAAATATACCATTGATTGAGCATTTAAAAAGAATACCAGTATGTTGAGTTATCAACCTTCATTATCTGTTGAGACATTTATCATATCATATATACTCAGTATCACAGGTTTTTAGATTGATCAAAGCAAGAAAATTGTAATTTAACATTTACAAAATTAGCTTTTGTTTTACACATGATTTTTTGTGATCAATTACATAACGGTGCAGCAATGTAGTTGTGTAACTTATTACCTCAAAAACTCAACATTTGCTTATATTGACAATGTTAAAGGTTTATTTCATCCTTATTTCACTGGGCACAAAGTTAAGCATGGAATGGTAATAAACAAGGGGTTCTAATTAATTATAACTCCAACATACATCAGTAGTTTCAGGGTTGATAGGGCTTATTAAATAATACAGCTTATGGTCAATACTAAAAGCACATTTTTAAGACCCTGCAACCTGCAGGAGATGGATTCAATAATCTTCACATTCCACTATGTTGATAGGTGTGTGCCTTTTCTGTTTCAGGTCCTCTGACATTGAGGTGATGCTTGAGTCCTTAATGAGGAATGAGTCCCGCTTCAGTCCATCACTCTGTTGAAGGTTTACAGCTCAATAACTAGTATCAGCTCCAAGGCATGAACCTGTAAAAGTACCTGACTTTGAAGGGAAGAGGTGCTTGAATACAGAAAACTCCCTCACAATATTAAGGAAAATAAAACATATACTGGCAATGTCATCACTCTGTTGTGTGATGTGGTTAAACCAGGAGTTTAGGCTGAGGAACATGCTTTACCACCACAACAAAGGGCAGCCATGAATTCTGCACCGTCACCTTCTTTATCCTACGCCATGAATGTAACTGTTAGCTGATAGTATGTGATCAACAGCATTGCAGCATTTTGCCTCCTGCTGCTTCACCATCCCAATAAAACCCAGCTGGACTATTCAGTCTGTTTTGTACAAATGGCAGAAGAGGATTTCAAGCTCAGACCGGTACACAGCAAAGAATGCACAGAGGACAACAAGCTCCCATCAGCTGAATTCCTAATACCATCGCTAGCATCCCTCCACCTCGGGGACAAGACTGTGAACTTCAAGGAGAGCAACATCCATATGGGAGATAATCCTCAGCGCCCATCTGTATTTCCTGCAATGATGTCATCACCCCTTAACCACTCCCAGCAGCCAACAGACATATCCATGGCTACTAGGCCTGATTATTCACCAGCAGATCAAGGTAACATTAAATGTGCTTTATCAAGCATTTGAAGCATTTATAGAGATACAATTTTAAAACAACAATAACTGTAAAAGGGTTTTGGCTTTCCTATATGTTGCTTTGTGCAAGAAAGCAGATTTTCAAATTTCTTGTCTGTATGCACAAAATAAATTGCTAATAAATTAGCATTTTTGTACACTGAGAAGATTTGAGTTTAAGATCAAAAGATGAATATGAAAACAAGAATTCAAAATGTCACATTTGATTTCCTATTTCTATATTTGACAACTTAGGACAAAGAACCTTTTGTATCAGAACACCCCATTTCTGATGAGCAAGAGTAAAGGGACCGATTATAAGAGTATAATACCATTGATTCATACTGTGTTATATAACCCTTGCTTGCAATATGTACACCCACTAACATTACAAAGTCATCAGTCTGAACCTTTCTCGTTCTTGTCGTGTTAGCTGTGTGTTTTGGTTCCTCTTAATAAGTCTGGATCTTGATTTCTCCGTAAGTAGGCAGGCAACATGTTTCTGTTGACATTATGTTGCTACTATCAGAATCAGAACACGGGTTACACCATCAATAAATATAAGTGAGCCTGTCCCTGAACAGCCATGACAGCAGCTCCACCGTGCGTCATAGAGGAGCTTGTGTGTTTTGGACCATGAGCAGATCCTGTCTTGCTTGACTCTTGTTGGAATAGGTTTCATCAGTCCATAAAACTTGCAGATGATCTTTTTTTCAAATCTGACACTCTGATTCTTATTGCTGACAAGTTGTTTGCATCTTTTTTTTGCATGGCATCTATATTTCTGGTCTCAATGTATGGGAGGTAAATCCTTCAACCCTGCTCAATTGAGATGGCTGGTAATGACTTTTGCTTTGGGGGTTTTCTTCACAGCTCTCACAATGTTTCTGTCATCAACTGCTGTTGTTGTCCTTGGCTGACCTGTGTGAGGTCTGTGGCTCAGTTTGAACAGTAGTTCTTTCTTTTTCAGAGCATTCCAAAATTGTTGAATTTGCTATGCCCAATGTCTGATTGATTTTCCCTCTTTTCTTTGCTTCAAAATTGCTAATTTTTTCCATTTCTATGGTCCTCATGTTGGTTTATCCTTTTTAATAACAGAGATATTCATTCTTTCAACAGTCGAATGGGCGAACCCTAGGCAACAAGAAACATATGTTCCAATAGTTTAACTAATTTGAATAGAATTTGAAATATATCTTATCTTTGACCTTACACCCAAATGTCTTTGTCTTTACAACAAATACTTAGGAATTGAACTTGTGATTTAAATGCTTTGACAGGACTGTATAAAAATAACAAAACCTTTGCAGTCAGAAATATCTAATCAATACAAAGTCCGAACTTAAAACCCAGATCGTAGTATGAATAACTTCCCTTTTTTATATATTTTTCAACCAAATCAGCAAATATGAGGTATTATTTCCTGTAGTCTTTGGCTGAATGTGTACAGCTTCTCTCAGAGTCTATACCAGATGAGATTTGACCGTTTGAAGGGCTGAGGTTAATGAGTGTCAACCCTTTCTAATTTTATGACAGCATGCATATGATTCCTCCAACATAAAACTGCGTACCCAGCAGCAATTGAATGGATCTCCAGGCATGCCATAACAAGAAGGGATGACTTACATTAAATGACAACAGCATGCCTCTTGATACACATGTACACCAGCGCTCGTGTGCAAAGACACATACTGGTAAATACAAACATTTCACACATAAATGCAATGCTCTCAGAAAATGCTTGACTGGCAGGTTATCACCTTTCCAAGCTTCCCTAATTCCACATTGACTCACATATGGACAATAAACACAAACAGAAATGGTGCCCTATCAGCTCCAGTCCTTCAGACCGACATGGCATCTCTCTGCAGACAGCTGTTGTTTGTTAAGCAAGGCGAGGCAAGGCGAGGTCGGGCACTAAGCAGCAATGAGTCCAGCTGACTGTGCCCGAGTGTTGAGGAGTGCCAGTTCTGGTATTTTAGGCAGTCAGACAGTGTCACCTGTCAGCAGACTAGTCTGGACAGAGTCTCCCAACATGGTGCAAGGCTGAGCAACACAACGGTATCTCCCTCTTGAGGCCTTGTCAGTGGGCCAGCAGTGTGTGCTGAACAGACAGCCACAAAGTGCAGATAGCCACATGCAGACTGGCCTGAACTGACTCCAGGACTCACTTGTATTCTCGTTGTATGCTTGATGTTTCAGAGTTTTTGGAGCCAGAGCTCAGTCAAAATGACAGCAAAGCTCAGTCTCATGCCCTGACAACCTCTCTGCAGGATCTTTCTTCACTCGTTGACCATGATGATGTGTATCCTGCCCTGAAAAACAACTTAGTCAAGGAAGGAGGTATGCTCAAACATCACTTACTGTGCTTAGCTTAAAACTGTAGCAAGTCTTTTGTAACATATTCAAACACGTTTTTTCCTAAATAAGAAAATGTTTATAATGTATGCTCTTAAGTGTTGACTCTTATTTTAGCATCCTTCATATTTTTTATCTATTTACTGCTTCTCCTATTTTGTAATTTTAAAATCTGAACTTTAGCCTTGAAGGTTATCTGCTTGGGGCGATATTACCCAATATCCAGAAAGTGCTTTAAATCCTTCCAGTTGATGTCTGCTGATCAACAAAAACATTGTTTTAACATGTGTGAAAAGGGGACAAAAGGAGATGTAGCTTAAGATGGACAATCCTGCTCTGTTGAAAAAAAGGCAATGTGGATTTTGCACAACAGTACATTGTTAAATTACATTAATTAATAATGAGCACAAGGTAACCCTATAGTGATTAAAAATATGACTCTTCTGTTTTGTTCATCTGTTTCTGTGACCCAAAATTTTTTTTTATGTCCTCCGTGATCAGAACTTCAACCCAAGAACAACATAACCAAAGCGATGGCAGCATGCAACTGCAGTTTCGATGACAACCAGCTGTCCCATGCAGACTGGTACTGGGGCAACATCTCAAGGTATTTGCATGTTTTATATGGTGTGCTGATGATTTGATGTATTCCCTGCTAAACTCATTTTGCTTCACAATTTTTAAAATATGAGTTTTTAAAGCTTTTGTTCCTTTCTTTAACCTCGAACATGAACTGTTTGAAACTTTCCAATTTGTTTGTATATTGTCTAGAGAGGAAGTTAATGAGATGATGAGAAACACTCCCGAGGGCACTTTCCTGGTACGAGATGCTTCCAGTCGTGTTAAGGGGGAATATACTCTCACACTAAGGTAAATACTTTTGAATCTTATTGTCATTATAGTATATATAGTCATTTTTATGGCCAGCCCCTTCACTTCCTCTTTGTCAGTGCCTCTTGTTTCATTGATCTCAGGCTTTGCCGCTGACGCCTCACGACCAGGTTCATGGTTGATTTGCTGCTAAACTTCTTTTTGTCCAGGCTGGTTGCTGCTACAGTGGGTTTTTTCCACAATCAAGCAATAAAATATGGACTGTTGCATCCTGAGATTCCTCACATTCCTACATTAGGATGATTACATTAGTACTAGTTAAGGGTGGCATGAAGCAGTTAGTTGATGGCATACCTCTGCCAAAACCCAACAGTCCCCTTAAATTCAAACAAGTTGAACCGAATTGCACAAACTGCCTGATTTTTTATATCAAAATACATTGGTGAAAAGGTTGAAAATGTCCTATCTTGCAATGTTAAAATACAATTCCCAGATCTGACCCAAAATGCAATGTGTTGTTTTTTGACTCATGTCCTATCAATCCTCCAAGTTTATTTGCATTGTGTACAGTAGTGTTTGCATAATCCTGCAGACAAACCAATCAAAATACTAACTAATGAAAAGGGTTAAAGACATAAAATAGCTACAACGATGTCTGTTATTTCCTGGTTTCAAAGTCTCACATTAGTTTCCTGGTTTCAAAGTATAATTTTAGTTTTCTGGTTTCAAAATTTAAATTTAGTTATACTGGCTTTAAAGTGTAACTTAATACATTTCCTGATTTCTGTCTAATTTTAGCTAAATGAAGACATGTCCTGAGATTTCAGATATAAAGCTTTGTTGATTAGAATTTGGCGCAGACTCCAGTGGTAAGCAACATAACACCGTCTACCCAGTCAAGTTTTTCCAGTCATCCGTCTTTCGTCTGTCTGAAGGAAAATACACAGTCCAACTTTATTCAATGCTGTCTGTACGGTTTCTCTCTCACAAAACACTTAGTTCTAGCTTCTATGACCCAAAGCTCCTATTAGCCTTCAAGTGTATATTCATCCCATCTGCAAGCAGGAGTACATTGTTTTAGTAGTTCCAACTCTCACTAACAGTTCTGTGGATGAACTGATCCAGTGTTGACTGTAACTGAGGACTAAAGCTGCTGACTAACTACTTTTACTTCGCAGCTCATGTAGATGAAAAGTTGATGTGGACAGAGTTGACAGTTTTGGTTGGATGATATGGCATGGTATAGTTCTGTACAGAACTGTGGTTAGGTGGAAGAAACAGTATACCTATGAAAAGTTAAACCCTGTAATAAAAGTATTTTATTTACATTTATGTATTTTCACCCAGTAGATATGATGCTGACTTTTTCTGCCGACAGACTAAATATATCCCACACCCATTTGTCATAAGCACTACTGGACTTTTGTTCCAACCCCCTGAAATTATTAAATCATACCCGTTGATAGTTACTAGACACTAGTTAAAGTTATAGACCACTTTGAAATTCACTAGCCACAATGTTTAATGATTAAAACGTTAAAAAAACAAGATTATGTACCATCAGAATCAGGGAGAGAAAACCATTATATTTTCTGTACATTCCTTATTGCAAATAAATCACAGTTTAATAGACAAGTATGCAATGTATGTTCTTGTTCTGCATGGTTTCAGTTTTTTTGGTTGGTATTTTTCTCTTTAACAGAAAAGATGGTTCCAACAGACTGATAAAGATTTTCCATAATGGGGGCAAATATGGCTTCTCTGAGCCACTGGCCTTCTCCTCTGTGGTGCACCTGATCCAGTATTACCAGAACAAATCACTAGCACAGTACAATTCCAAACTGGACATACGGCTACTCTACCCCATATCCAGATACCAACAGGTGGGTTTATGAGGGCTCCATTTAGGAAAGAGTGCTCTCATATCTTACAAATTAATATTTTTCATGTGGGGACCAGTCAGTCAAGGAGTAACAAGACTAGTGACAAGAATAATGAACAAGAAAGCAAATTTCAGGTTCATTTCACGGATGCTTTTAACCATCTTAAATTTTAGCAAATGTAAAAATAACAAAGTCAGAGTCCAGAACCTTGTTTAATGTTAGCTTAGATAAGACCAGATCTTTAAACTGGATTTTGTCTTAAATTTTTTGTCTGTACAGCAGCAGGTTGGGATGGAAGTTGACATTGATGCAGTTGGAGAACAGCTGAGGATATTTCAGGATCGATACAAAGAAAAAAGCAAAGAGTATGACCATCTGTTTGAGGAGTTTAACCAAACCTCCCAGGTAAAACTACAGCCTAATCACTGAGGCTTATTTTAACTGTAAATATGTAAATGTGTGATGTTATTAGGTAAGAGCAATATGACTTTGATTGCAAAGGCTCTGCACATATATATAATATTACAGATTTGTTTCTTTGTCATCCGAGGACCTGCAGAGCAAGCGGACAGCCATCGAGGCTTTCAGTGAAATCATTCGGATCTTTGAGGAGGAGTGTGAAACTCAAGAACGCTACAGCAAGGAATACATCAACATGTTCCTCACGTTACACAGCAGCACAGACACTGACAAGTATGCCTTTAAATATCAATATGCTTTTCAGACACTTTTAATCAATTCTTATATATTTCAAATTACTACTTTTAATAAATTTGAAGCCGATATTAAATTAACTAGAAATAGCCTCATCATTGTATGCCTCTGCCTACATCCATATCTGTCCAGAATCATAATAAATGTAATAAAGACTTGAAGTATATGTTGCCACAATTGGTGTACAAATACACAAGAAAAAAACGTATTTTGTGAGGTCCCAGTGACATAGACCTTTGACCTAGAGTGGGATGGACAACCTAAAAACATAAAGCTTCCAGTTACCAGACCAGAGGCATGAAAATATTCTTTGCCAGCCATGCCCCTTCAGCATGAACACAGCAAACGAACAGACTCTGTTACCCAAGTTGTTCCTTCTTTTACTCCCAGGATTCAAAACAACTCTGAAGAGCTGCAGTCAAGGGTAGAGGAGATTCACAACAGCAAGAAAAAATTGGAGGACGAGCTGAGAAAAAAGGCACTGGCTCACATGGAGGTCGACAGGAAAATAAACAGTCTGAAGCCTGACCTTGTACAGCTCAGGAAAATCAGAGATCAATATCTCCTGTAAGTTTAAAAATGTATGACCTTACATTCTAGATGACTGATTAGTGGAAAAAGGTCTCTTGTACTTTTAAGCTAACAAGTGGACATGAGATTAACGGTTACATACCGATACACAGATAACATCCAAATATTGCTGTCTACTAACTGATGGGTCTATGTTTTAGGTGGCTCACCCAGCACGGCACTAGGCAAAGCCAGATCAATGAATGGTTGGGTATCAGGAATGAAGAAGAAGAGTGAGTACCATCATTTGTGAAACTTATTTCAGAGTTTTGTCACTGCAACAGAATGTACAGGAATCTCTTGCTATTTTATCGTTTGTATTTTATCTCTCACTAAAGCCTGAAAAATAACTCTACTGTGTCTTTTGGCTTCATGCACTAGCACATATGCAAACGGGAAGTATGGCAGCCAAATGTTCTATTATCTTAACATTACATGACTGAGTCGAGAGTCAGAAAAACATCACTGCAGATCCATCAAAGTGTGGACACAACCTGATCCACCCTCTCGCTACAGAACACTGTATGCCAGCACAACCAGACACAAAAACAGTTTCTTCATAAAACAAACCTTGCTTACTGTACATAATTGTCAATGTAAATCCTGCATGCTGTAAATAATATTATATATGTGGATATGTATAGCATACAATGTGCATATCTGTCCATCCCACAGAAGCAAAGTTATCTAGTATTTATTAGTCATTAATCTAACATATTTTTCAGTTTTTGTTTTTCTCATCCCTAGCTTTATGTGTATGTGTGTAAGTACACTGAGGGCAATACTAAACCAGAGTCAAATACCTTGTGTGTACAATACTAGGCCAATAAATTCTATTCTGAATTTGATAGATGGAAACATTGGCTACATAATTTTCTCATGACCTACATTTGGCTGCAGTGCTTGTATATAGCTCACTGTGCCAGATTACTGTATTCAGAATGTTCAGTTAACATACATGTAAAAGTCACAAAGAACACAGGATCAGCTGTTATTTGAGGGGGAACTCTATTCTTTAAAACTAATCTAGCCCTCCTTCCTCCCCATTGTACTTTAGCCTATACACCCTGGCAGATGATGCACATCAGGAGGAAAGGAGCTGGTATGTTGGTGGTATGAGACGAAAGGAAGCGGAGGAGCTGCTGAAGGGGAGTAGGGATGGGACCTTCCTTATCAGAGACAGCCAGACACAGAGAGGCTCCTTTGCATGCTCTGTTGTGTGAGTACCTTCAAATTTACATATTGTAGGTATTTATAACTTATGCACACACACAATATTCACAGCCACTAGATGTCACTGCAGCACCAGCATCTCAGGCTAAAACAAGCAACACTTCCAGCCACTTTGTTTTACAGTTCTTAATCCCCAACTGACCACTTGATGAAACATATTAATGTAATGAAGCCGGACATTACAAGGCTGAGTTTTATTTACTCAAATATACTTAAATATCTTCATACAGTGTGGACGGAGAGGTGAAGCACTGTGTGATCTACAGGACGTCTACAGGCTATGGCTTCGCTGAGCCCTACAACCTGTACTCATCTCTGAGAGAGCTGGTCCTCCACTACCGACACACATCCCTGATCCAACACAACCAGCAGCTGAATGTAACCCTGGCCTGGCCCGCTCTCAGCCAGCAGCCCAGCTGAGACACACCAGCATGCCAGCAGGATGGCGGTTTCCCAAAGCTCCAATGTAGTAGATGCACCTGTCTTGACATTGTTGCCACAAGACTTCTTTACCGGTTAGTGTTGTCACCAACTCAGAATTTTCACAGTCTCAGTGCTAAGATTTGGTTACATAATAATCCTGGATATTTCAAAACACATCACTGAACAACACGCACCGTATTCCTAAAGTTAAAAAATTTACTTTACATTTGCATACAGAACTGGGATTAAATACTAAACATTTACGGTATATAACCGTGAAATGAATATTTTGCTGCAGTATTAATTTAGTATTGAAATGTTGTAGTAGAGTCAGCAAGTTTCACAAACCTGTACAGGAATTTAACTTGCAACAATTTTATAAATGTAGCAATTTATGAAGAGATCCAAAATTTAAAAAAAAACTGATTCAAAACTAAAAAGCACAATCTAAGATATGACTCGGTTTGCCGTTTTTAATATCAACAGTATATTACATTTGGGATGAGATATTAATGGAAGTTATGTATTAATACAAGAAAAAATATCTCAGCGCAACAACGTTTTTTTTCCTTAAAGGCAAGCACAAGTAATCAAATATATTAAATGAGATAAACATTATGTTTCATGCAGACGTCTTTAGATTTGGCCACTCTTGCCTTAAACTGCACCTCAAACATTTCTAAAATATTTTGTCTAATAACGCACACGAATACTCATCCATATATATTGTAAATTACATCCATATAATCTGTGTAGTAATAGCACATAAGTAATTCAGAAACGACATACAGCACTCACATCTAAAACAAGACAACCAGTCTAAACACAGGCACAGACGCCACAACTGCAGACTTGTGAGAATCCACTGTAACAATTATTCCACTTATTGTTTGCTGGTTGATAGCTTTAACTTCAGAAATGAGAATAATCAAAGTTATATTCTTGCTGGCTTTGACACATTTTTTCCCGTTTTCACATTGTGGTTTTCGACAGAAGCTTAGGCAATCAATGGCAATTAGAAAAATGTGACAATCAATTGCATACTTTATGTGTTGTTTAAAGCTCACTCATTAACACTCAAAAGTATTTTAATATATGGGGGGTGTTTAGTGTGAAGCAGCAGACGTAATGCACAGGCATATAAGTGAGATGTGTATAGGTATTTTACAGAGTCAGGGGTTTGACAGCTTTGATAATTGGTCTGGAGCCTGATGTGAAGTGATAATACACTGTACAAGACTAATACATTTCCAGTTCAGTAGGGAGTTATCGAAAAGTGCCTTTAAGTGCTTCTATTTCAGCCATCATCACTGTCAACACGTTTGAGACAAACACTGACGCTGTGTCTCGGATACAAAGTTACAATACTGCAGTGTCATTAAGTAGTGTGATATTAGAGGAGGTTTATATATTTATATAAAATTATATTTGTCAAATAGAACTTATTCCCCTGTGGGCTGCCACACATTACTTTGTACAAACAACATACTGTGAGATGAGTTAATGAGTGGAAATAACAAATACTTAAAAAAATCTGGAAATATCTCAGAAAAAGGTCTAATGCTTAAAAGACTTTTAACAGTAGAGTTAAATTAAAAGGTAAATGTAGATACAGATTTAGCAAATAATTATCATACAGAATCTGTGTGGTTATAGACTTATAAACAAGGTGTTTAGATTTATTCATGCAAGATTTTTTATATAATCATACAAACAAAAGCTAATTTCACATGGCTTTGACCTTGGATAATTGTCTGAATTTAGACATCACCTTATGTGTACAGGTGCAAACTGGAATACTAAAGACTCGAAAGTTAAAACGTATACCAGAATTATGCAGCCATGTTAGCTATTAGTGAACAAGGTATAATTCCAGCTATGGTGGACCAAATAGCGTATATTACAATAAATGTGATAAAATTATGATATTGAAATTCACTCGTTTGATAAATGTTGGTACATAGAAACGTATGTCTAGTATAATAAATATCACTTGAAAGCAAAATCGTTTACCTTTCAAGACTATCCAGATCCCTCCAGCCCTGGTTAGGAAACCGGGACTTGATTGTGCACTTTTTGAGTGGAGATGAAGTGGTGCTTGTGGGTTACAATCATTTAAACTATTTTTATAGGGGAAAATAGAGTAGTCGATTAATTTAGCATTGTCACTTTGTGCTGCCCATTATAGTCATGAAAATTGATTTTACATTTTGACATTGGTTTGATATTTCATTTATCTGTATCATGTTTTTGTCCTGTTAACTGGGGCACTTTAGATGCACTTATATCTTTAGTGGTCTTTAGTTAAATATGTGCTTGATGCGTGTTGCGTAGGATCACTTGAACTTATCCATTATTTCTGACTGTTTATTGCCATGGAGTTGGAAAAATGTGTCCTATTCTTTGTTTGTGGCAGTAGAAAATGTGTAAATGTTTGATTCTGCACGCTATCATTGTGTACAAGATAGGTACCTAGATATTAAATCTATAACTAATTATTAATAGGTTTCTGATTTGGTACTGGTACCAAGTTTATCACCAGCTATAAAAGACCTCTTTTGATGGTTTTACCATGTTCTGGGGAAGTTTTTCTTTGTCTCCATGATTGGTGTAAGGCAGTCTTTGCTCTAGTTTTCTTTGAATGCATTTCCCTAAGATCAGAAGTCAGTCATAGAGTGTACAGTGACGTCTTATTTTCAAAGCAAATAGAAAAGCTGTCCCATTGGGTGTTGTCTGCTATGTTTGTGACCACAATAATTTGTGATATAGTTTTGCACAACAGTAAAATATTGAGTTTTACATTGTACAGGAGTGCGACCCAACCACTAGATTGCAGTGGAAACAGGACATTTAACCTAGATGTTGTTACTCTTTAAAGCTAGAATCTAAGTTTGAAATGTTTGGACTTCGGTTTTGTAAGACCCTGTGTTAATGGACAAAAACAAATAGATATTTAGACTGTGTAGCAGTGGTGTAGTCTACTTAGCATACTGTCAATTTTAGCAACATAGGACATCACACTGTTGGGCTTTCGTATTTTAGCCAGATTTTCTAGTCTCACAGGATGTTTACTAAAATGCACAATTAATAGTGTGTTAAATAAAGTGCATCATTGGAAACATACCTTTATTTAATATTGTGAATTTTAAAAAAAGTAACAAACATCACATTTCCCAGTTAATTTTGTAGAATGGATACAGAGAACACGTAGAGATGCACAAACAGATTACACCACTGCTTTGTGAAGTTTAGATTTTGAAGCATTGTATTTGCACATTAGTATCTCCTATGAAGTGGAGATAATACAGTATGACTGTCTTCATGTACATCCACCCTCCTACTGAAGCAGGTGGACATGTGGTGGTGCTAAATATGGACAGGTTGCTAATGAGATTGAAATGTTGTAGCACTGATAAAGCACTGATACAAGTTTTCAAGTCATTTTTTTCTCTGTAGCATCTGTAATGAGATGAAGTCTTCGTAGTTCCATAAAGTCATTACATCTTTGTAAATTTTAATTGTTAGTGCACAATCTGGTCTTTTTCTTTTGTAATTTTCAGTTTTTGTAATTTATATGTGTTATCACTGTGCAAACAACATTGAACAAACTAGACAAAAACAATTCATTTACAAATATTACTGTTTCATTGAAAAATAATTGGTGTCTCATATCATACAATGTGTGTCATAATGTACTTTCAGCTTTACGTTTTTCAAATACTGGATGGTGAGTTTTGGCAAGAAATGGTTTGGAATTTTGAGATGTTCTCTTACTTTTAAGAGATCATGTAAAGAAGTTCTTGTCTAAAGCAATTCTTCATAATCTAGTATTTTAAGGCAGATTATATAGATGTGTACCTTCTATTCCAGTAAAGATGGAAGATTAGTCATTTCAATTATATGGTCGCTATCAGCCTTTGTTTGGCATTATAAGTCAATTAAGGCCCGGTGGGGTGACTTTGAGAAGGAGGTTGTTAATGAAACCATCTACTCGAGATGGTTGAAGTCAATGATGTTGGGAGATGGAATGACAGAGTGATGTGTTAAATAAGAAGAATATGTTGTTGCTACTTTGAAATCAAAGAGGAATGTGTTTTTACAAAGTTCCTCTGTAGAAATTATGTCCATGTTGGACGATTCTGCAGGACACAGTTGGCAACAGTTAGCAACAATGTGACAATGAGGAAAGTAGTATGTTATCCAGATAGAGAGGCAAAGGGTAAGGGAGAGGTTGTTATGACATCATCTTTTCAAAACCTTAAAAAAGTGGTTTTACTTGGCAAACCTTAATCTTCCTGTAACTGCCTGGCACAGATATTGCAAGATTAACTAAAGGACACACTTGAACTGAATGTTCAAAACCATTTGTACACCAAATAGGAGATATGAGTGCATTCGAAATTAGAATGCAATCATTTTACAGCGTTTTGCAGAGATTGGATGGTTGAGATGGTGAACAGATTGTTATACAGGTATGGTTATGTTGGTGCAGGTGGTATGTTTTCTTCATATGCTGGAGATCTATGATAAGGGTTAGGTTTTGTAAGTGTAAGAATGGTTACTTTGGGAAAGGTTTACATATGGGTGGTGCTCATAATTTACATACTGGCCATGTGGGGTCTACGTAAATAAGACTACACCGCAGTAGCTGAGGTCACAATGACAGCAGTTCTGATGTACCCATTCGAACCATACTAGCTGGTAAGCAGGCATGGTAAATGTTACTTGGTGATGTAGAGAAAAAAGACAGGAATGCAAACAAGGCATTTGAGGTAGTGTTTTTTGTGGGAGAGAGGGACTCCCTTTGCTGCAGACTTTGGCCTTTATAACTTAGCTGACCTTTTACATGCACAAAAAGCTACATGACACAGTAATGGTAAAGAAAAAAGACCCAAAGCACTTTAAGAAGAAGGAGGTTGGTTAGAAACCAATGTTTGCAATCAAACAATGCTCAGCTACCATTTAATGGCTTGTCAACCCCCATTAACTTTCTTCCATTGCCGTGCCATTACATGGTGGGGTCTAGCCGTAATATTTGTCAAACAGAACAGCCATAATAACCTGTTAGTTTACCATTTCACGTTGAGCTGGGTGAAACATTAGTTATCAACTTTTATAATTGTTTGAAATCCAGGGATTTGATTTGTTAAGAAAGGATTGTTGAGCTGTGCATATGATGAAATACCT